CACTTTTCTGCATGGAACTAATCATTACTATAAGGACAGTTGCTATAAAGAAAAATTGGTTAATCCTCCAGGAATTTCAAGCCAGAGAAGAAACAACTACAATTCAGGCAGACCAAATGTTGCTGATTGCAAATGCCAGCAATCAATGCAGTTTATGCGAGATCAAAACATAATCCTTTCTTATTATCAAAATGCAAGTGAATTTTATGATCCTAACTCTAATGTGTTTCCTATTCAAGCTGTGGAGAATTAAATTCACAAACTGTAAAGCAATGCAACTCAACAGCAACCATCTGAAGCCAAACTATTTTCTTTTTACACTGGATCAATTGATAACAAGTTTATGACACTCATTAATCAAGATTCAGCAAGATTGGCACAGCACATACAATCCAATAGAGAGGCAGGCAGCATGCCAGTCAAATAGCATCATGGCAACCAATGATCAGCAATAGCAATTCTCCATATCTAATTCAAACACAGAAAACAGGTATATTAAAATCTGTATCTAATTCTGGTGTGGATTTTGGACAGTTGGAAGCTACAGATCATATATGCAAGTCTCTTGATATGTTTACAACCTTTCAAAAAGGAATTTCACCAATAAGAGTAAAGCTGCCAAATGGAGAAATATCTATTAGCTCATTTTTTCTGGCACTGTTTTTTTTCAGACAGTATTTCCCTTAAAGATGTGCTTGTATATTACCCGGATTTGCTTTTCAATTCTTGTCTCAGTTACAAGCCTTATTGCTCAACTTACATTTGTTACTCTTTCTCTATAAATGATCTATTGCTTAATCCAGGATTTCAAGACCTGGAAGATGATTGTTATAAGCGTAAAGTGTTCCAATGGGACTCTACAAGTTGCTGTCCAAAATGAAGATTCCTTAAGAAAGTTTTCTGATTGTTAGGACAAAATAAAGCAGTAAATTGGCTTGCTACTACATTGTTTAGTACTCAGTGTAAGTTAATAATAGTTATGTGGCATTTGCATTTTAGATTTGGTCATGTTCCTAAGACCAGATTATCCATTTTATGTACCAAACATCCAGAAATTCATATGAATAAGACTGATTTACCTTGTGATATCTGCCATATGGCAAAGCAGAAGAAACTTTCCTTTCCTGTTAGTGTAACTATGTCTCAATCTCCTTTTGATTTGTTACACATGGATATATGGGTCCAGTTGGCACTATTTCTTGGACAGGGCATAGATATTTCTTGACTATAGTTGATGATCATACCAGATTCTTGTGGGTCTACCTGTTAAAGGAGAAGAGTGAAGTTAGGCCTTTAGTCAAACAATTTGTTAAGATGGTAGCAACACAGTTTGACAAAAGAGTTAAAAGCATCAGATCTGATAAATCTGATAATGGTGCAGAATTCTTGATGAAAGATTACTATGCAGCAGAGGGTATATTACATCAAACTACTTGTTCAGAAACCCCAGAGCAAAATGCAGTTGTAGAACGAAAGCATCAGCATATACTCAATGTCACAAGAAGTCTTTTGTTTCAAGCTAATTTGCCAAAGAATTTTTGGAATTTTGCTGTATTGCATGCCACTTATCTCATTAATAGAATTCCATTAATAGAATTCCAACTCCACTATTGCAGGAATGCTCTCCGTATGAAAAACTTTATCATAGCCTACCAGATATTTCAACCTTAAAGGTTTTTGGGAGCTTGTGTTATGCCAATACTTTGCACGCTGGGAGAACTAAGTTGGAACCAAGAGCTCAAAAATGTGTGTTTTTAGGCTACAAAGAGGGTACCAAAGGGTATTTAATGCCGAATTTGCATACTAGAGGATTACTGGTTTCAAGGAATGTCATATTCTATGAAACTATTTTTCCTTATTCAGAAAAACAGTTTCAACCATTATTGCCTCAAGTTAATGACACATATGTAGATGCAGACTGTGTTCCTATGTTGCCTGCAGCAGATGCAGTCACTGCAGCAGATCCACTTGCCAGCAGCATGTAGTTCATGCTTCTATGCAAGATTAATGGCTCAAGAGATTCCACAAGCGACAAGGAGAAGCTCCTCAATTACCAACACACCAGGAGAGCTCCTCAATACCTGCAGGATTACCATTGTAATCTGACCTATCATAATCAAACTATGCCTATTGCTTCTACGCAGCATTCTATTTCCCAAGTGCTTACATATTCTCAGTTGTCTCCTTCCTATAAACATTTTATTTTAAATGTTTCTTGTCTTCTCAATAAACTCCTTTGAGAATCTATTTCTCGATTTATTTCGTCCGATCATACGTTATTGATCAAAACTCTTGACGGAGTATAATAGTTTATCCCATTCACGTAACCGTTCTGCGTCAATTACATTTATAGTTCTTTCGTATATTGGCTTTAAATAATACATGGATTGTGGTTCCTCTTCCACCAAACAGGGTGCCTATTGGTTGTAAATGGGTGTATAAAATAAAATTGAAGTCAAATGGTTTTGTAGAGAGGCACAAGGCAAGACTTGTTGCCAAGGGTTACACATAGGGTGAGGGCCAGGACTTCTTTGATACTTTTTCTCCTGTAGCTAAAGTTACAACTATCAGACTTCTCTTACCTTTAGCTACAATGAAGGAGTGGTTTTTGGAGCAGCTTGATGTAAACAATGCTTTTCTTCATGGGGATTTACATGAAGAAATTTATATGGAGGCTCCTTCAGGGTTGCAGGTTCCTGTTGGTTCAGTTTGTAAGTTGCAGAAGAGTTTATATGGCTTGAAACAAGCTAGTAGACAATGGTTTCACAAGTTAACGGATTTTCTTGTTGCTATTGGCTATCAACAATCACAATCAGATCACTCTCTATTCACTAAATCAAAAGGGGAACAATTTACTACCTTATTGATTTATGTTGATGATATTGTTCTAGCAGGCAATGATTCTTCAGAGATTAACTTTGTCAAAGCTTCTCTGGATGCCAAATTCAAGATAAAAGATCTTGGTAAGCTACAGTACTTTCTTGGATTGGAAATTGCTAGGTCAAAGCAGGATTGCATATATGTCAGAGAAAGTATGCACTAGAGCTCCTGACTGAGTATGGAGTTTTAGGTGTTAAGCCTTCCTCCTCTTCTATGGATTATAATGTCAAACTGTCCAAAGATGATGGTGACTTGTTGAGTGATGTAACTGGTTACAGAAAACTAGTGGGGCAACTCTTATATCTCACTACCACAAGGCCAGACATCACTTATGCTGTCAATACCTTGAGCCAATTTCTATCTGCACCAAGAACATCTCATTATCAGGCCTTGCTCAAGGTTCTCAGATATGTTAAATCTAGTCCTGGTAATGGTTTATTCTATAAAGCTAGTTCAACACCAAAACTCACTGCCTTTAGCGACTCTGATTAGGCTGGTTGTCCTGATACAAGGCGATCTATAACAAGTTATGCAATTTACCTAGGAGATTCCTTGATCAACTGGAGATCGAAGAAGCAGGTGACTGTGTCCAGATCCTCTTCAGAAGTAGAGTATCGAGCTCTTGCTGTTACAACTTGTGAGCTTCAATGGTTGAGCTATATATTGTCAGATCTTGGTCATAATTTATCTGCACCCATCAGTCTCTTTTGTGATAATCAATCAGCAATTTATCTCACAGCTAACCCTGCCTTTCATGAGCGATCGAAGCATATAGAGATAGATTGCCATTTTATTCGAGAAAAAGTTAATTCTGGCCTTGTTGAGAAAAATGCACTTCTGGCCTTGTTCAGTTCTTATGCTACTTTTTCTACCAGAGCTTGCAGCTTGCTGGGACTTGTATTACCAAATCCCTTTTCTCCTCTCGCTTTAAGTTTCTCATGTCCAAACTGGGCATGTCTGATATCCGATGGCCCAGCTTGCGGGGGGGTCAACAAGAGGTTGAGATAACAGAGGTTGAAGATGCTGAAAGTTTGAAGAAGAAATCCGTATTAGTTAACAGCTAGTATTAGCCAACGACACCGTGTTCATTATAAAAGAAAGAAAGATTAATTAAAAGAAAGAAAAACGGTGCGCACAGCTAATAAAAACTCAAGTGTACAAAAACAGCATGCTAGTACACTTTTCCGTTGCTGATAACAAAAACAGTTTGAGGAGGTTGCCAAATCTGTTACCAGTGAATTGAAGAGAAGAGAAAAGATGAGTTGTAACAGATTTTTAAGAGCTAAATTTTATGTGTCATTTTGGTCTAAATTTTATGTGTCATTGGTGTCCGTACAGGTGTATAAATAATTGTATAGAGCATCTGGTGTTAAGTTAGTTTTTTGGTGAATTCTTCTCTATTCAGTATTGTAATCTTGCTCTGTTTTTGTTCTTCTCTTGTAACTGTCGTTCTCTTCATCCTCTTATTGAATAAAATGTATTCAGTCAAGTTTCTTCATGGATGATGACTTTTGTTTTATAACTTAATTAGTATTACAGTGAAATCACAAACTTATATAAAATGGTTATTGACTCAATTCCTGCTTTGACAATGACAAGTTTGAAAATGAGTTTCCGATGGCTCCTTACAAATTATTTGAAAAGTAAAAAAAATTATATAGCTGACTGATTTAATCACCTCAATTTCTCTATAAATAGTGTTGCTTTGATGTGTTTACAATTACAGGCATTAAGCATAGAATACTTCACTTACCTTCTTCAACTTATTTACCTACCCTGAAAATGGCTCAACTGTCTCTTCCATCAAAAACTCAGCATGACATCTTTCGTCCATTGGCAAATTTCCCTCCCAGTGTCTGGGGTTATAGCTTTGCTTCATCTTCACCACTTGAAGCTGTAAGTCGTTCTTCCTTGTCTATTTTGCATTGCTAAAAGACATGACGTTTGTAGCAGAAACGACATTTTGTTTATTTATATTTTTGTTTTCACAGGAATTTGAATCATACACAAGAGAGGTGGAAGCACTAAAAGAAAATGTGAAGGACATGTTAAAGCAATCAACAGGAGAATTAATTGAGAATATTGAGTTCATCAACTTATTATATCGTCTTGGCAAAGAAAATGTGAAGGACATGTTAAAGCAATCAACAGGAGAATTAATTGAGAATATTGAGTTCATCAACTTATTATATCGTCTTGGCATTTCGTATCATTTTGAGGCTGAGATTGAAGAGCAACTAAATCATATTTTCATTGCTCTTCCTAATATCATTCATGACAATAACTATGACCTCTATACTTCAGCACTGCTATTTCAAGTTCTGAGACAACATGGATATAAAATGCCATGCGGTAAGCAATCTATCACGATTTTTATGCGTTTTATATGTATAATAAGTCAAGTTGTGATAAACTTTATTGAGCTCGAATTTGACTTATTAAAAGTATACCTTTACTCAAATCGAACTTAAAAAATCAAGTTTGATTTAAGCTCATTTTTAAAACAAGCTTAATAAGTAGACTCGAGCTCAGTTTGTTGAATTTATCAAACAAAATTTTTTTCTGGTGGAACTTCAGATAGTGTCAAAAAATGAGAGAGGAGAGGCCGGTTTTCAATTTTCTTAAAGAAATAAAAAGAAAAGGTTATAAACACAAAAGAAGAGATTGAGAGGAAAACATACATTCAGTACTCATAGCAAACGATTTACAAGCATAAAAACAAAGGTTTTTTTTTTTTTTCTTTTCTTCATCCTCATGACTGTCCATTTCTGTCCCTCTTCATTTTGTTCAAGACAAGTGTTAAAGGACAGCCTACATGGCATTCCCCTATCAAATATACTTTTTACCAGTTCTTTACCAAACCCAAGAACTTAAGCTATTTTGTTCAAGTTAAGTGAAAAAGTGTCACTTCTCTAACAAATAGCTCACCAGTTGGCTCAATTTATTAGTTCCTATAATACGCCTTTAAAGTAAAAAAAAGAATTCGTATTATATATATATAAATATACAAAAGCGGAAGGCTCAAATAAATAACGCAAACGTGCCTTAAAAACACTTAGACCACACAACACACCCTTCAAGAAAAGCATAAGTGAGAAGTGATGTGAAAAGAAGGCCTTCTTGGCTTATATGAAGCTACCTTTCTAGCGTGCATGGAGAAGATTTTAGATGAAGCCCGCTTGTTTTTACAATAGCGATGGCCTAGACACTCTTAGCTGCAACAATCGAGCTCTCATCTTGCAAACCGCATAAGGGAATGCCTTATCTCTGCGGCCATTTCCATCAAGCATAGAAAGAATAGAGACTCCCAATACATATCATTTTATGCAGAAGAATTAAGTCTCCAACATCAAACTCTCTCAAGTTCTGCCAAAGCTTTTGATTTTAAATTAGACTAAATATTATACAAAGTAGCGTTAGCTTTGGTCTCAAAGTAAGTTAATATCATCTTTCATAGTAATTTCTTGATGAAAATTTAGTATATACTTGCGATTAATTTATGCTTCATCAGGTGGTGGAAAGACTTAAATCTTGTTGAAAAGCTTCCTTATGTAAGAGACAGAATTGTGGAGGTATATATTTGGGCAATTGGAGCTCATTTTGAGCCGCAATATGCTCTTGCTCGTGTGATGATAACCAAGTATACAAAAATGGTATCAGTGGTAGATGATACATATGATGCATATGGTACACTTGATGAACTCCAACAGTTCACAATCGCGGTTCAAAGGTCCGATAGACAAATAAGAAAACTACTGTTTCGATCAGACCCCATGTGATTTTCTATTCCTAACAATCATTTGGTTCAAATTTTCAGGTGTAATATTGATGCTATTGATCAGCTCCCAGAATACATGAAAGTTCTTTATAGGGCTTTGTTGAATCTTTTTGCTGAAACAGAAAATGATGAGACTGAAGGAAGATCCCAGAGAACAGCTTATGCTAAAGAAACTGTAAGATTACTATATACGCTATTAATTGTGGACTTTGCTAAATACACGTAATTAATGAACTTTGTTCGGTATTATTAGTTCAAGGAACTGGTGAGAGCATACTTTGTAGAAGCAAAGTGGTTTAATGAGGGTTATGTGCCACCTTTCGAGGAATACATAAGCAATGGATTAGTGTCGAGCACTTATAGTGTACTTCCAGCAGCTTCCTTTATTGGATTGGAAAAGGTTGTTGGAAGCAAAGAGTACGAATGGGTAAAAGAAAATCCTAAAATTGTTAATGCTTCCAAGTTAATTTCCCGTCTGATGGATGACGTAACAACCCATGAGGTATTGCATGCTATTCTAAAATTTCTTCTCTTTTCTAGAATTATATTGCATGCTATTCTAAAATTTCTTCTCTTTTCTAGAATTAGGACATTATTTACAGATTAATTAGCAGTAATCACTAATTATAAAGAAAGAAACTTTGCAAATTTATGTAAGGAACATACTCTAATGAATATATATCAATTCTTGAAGCATGAGCAAGAGAGAGAACACTGTGCTTCAGGTATCGAATGCTACATGAAAGAGTATGGTGTTTCACAAAAAGAGGCCATTGATGAGATCCAGAAAATGTGTGCAAATGCTTGGAAGGATATCAACCAAGCATGCATGAAGCCAACTGAGGTATCCACCACTCTTCTCAAGTATTATGTCAATCTTGCACGTGTCGTTGATTTTGTTTACAAGTATTCGGATTCCTACACCTACTCAACAATTCTCAAAGATGACATCAAAGCATTGTTCCTTGAGAAATTGCCTATGTAATGATGGATTGATTTAGTTTTAAGTGTGGAGGATAGATATCATATATAGATTTCCTAATAAAATCAGATTTTATTTGGAGTCTGTTCAATAAAATATTGTAATAAAACGATGTTGTATCAATAAAACATTGTAATAAGATATCTCCACTTTGGATTTGTATTAAAATTATTGTAAAAGAAGAACAGACGGTTGGTTTTGATGAGTATATGGTTTTTTTTTTTTTTTTTTTTACACTCATGTTTTCTTTTTTTTTACTGTCTGCAATTTTAAAGTTATTTAGTTTTGTAAGATGCAGATATAGATTAAGGATATTTTCACTAATAACACAAAATAAAAACTATTATATTCAAAAAAAAAAAAAAAAACAAAAACACGGAACATATTTCGTTTCTCTATACTTTAAGAAACCAAACATAACAAACGTTACACTATACAAGCCTGAAAATACTAACCTATATGATGAAAAATCTAAATTCTTTTGCAATTCAATATACAAGAGACTTTTTAAGCAATACTTACACTCAACTACAAACTAACGCTCTTAACCAGGAGAGCAACCCGAAATCCTAAGCTGCTCTTATTCATCTCAGGACGGGTTGTGTGCTGGTATGAACTCATCGCTTCACACAAGGGAGGGCCAAAAGCACTGACGGAGCCAGGGGGGTTCTGAGGGAGGCGACCGCCCCCCTAAATCTGTTAAAGATTTTCTAATGTGGTAAATGTATTTGATGAAATCACTGGCCGAATGGTTAAACCTTTGCTGTTTCTGTCATTGGTTCTGACAAGATTAGCGGAGATGAAGATGGAGTTATAAGTTGAAGCAGAAGGAGATGAAGATGGAGTTTAATTGCCAGATATAAGAATAGAGGAGAATGCCTGGAAGATTCTCCACCAAGATGGGTGACTTGAATGGATCATATCAATTTTACATTTTTTAATATATATATATATATATAACGGGAAATGCATTTGCCTTAATTATAGGTTTAAGGACCTGTAAAAGCTTTTGATGAGGTCAATCTCTCTCTACAAAAAGGAGAGTTTAGATGTAATTTTTTTTATGGAAATATTGTGTACGTGTGCATTTGGAATTGGACCACCTAAGTAAAACCTAACTTACATAAAACCTAACTGTACCTTACAACGAATTAGAAACCAGACAGTGGATACCTATTTGGATTACAGGTTCCTAGGCTTTCATTCTCCCCATGTATACCTCCCTCCCACTCCAGAACCAGGATATTCCTCACTTACCATGCAACTGCTTACACTGGAATATATAATCTTTTAACTATAGTATTTTTGATAAAAATAAATAAATAAATTAAACACCATTAACATTTACTTTTTACTTGTAAAAGTAAATTAATTAATATAATTGGAATTGAAAAGGTCTGATCCGATGGAGAGCTTTCCCATACAGTACTTATCTATCTATCTATCTTCAGTTGGTTGGTCGTTGCCTCGTGTTTCGTTACAGGTCCTACTATATATTATTTTATTATATAGTTGTAGATTAGCTGTTTGTTTTAAAATAAAAATTAATTTATTTTTTTTTCATTTTCAATTTTCCTTAAACGCATGAATCTGATATTACCTTTTTAGCGACCTGTCTCTGCATATACAACATGTTACTCAACCATATTTTAATGCTCCTTAATCATCGATTCTATTTCTATTCCACTAAAAGTGGGCTTTCAGTCTGTTTGACCGCTAATCTTGTTCTTCTTCTTTTTTAAAATTAATTAATTGATTAATCATCTTTGGTGTTTTGACCGCTAAGATTATTTAATTTTACATTCTTTTTACATTTTAATTTTAAATTTAATTTCATTCCATGAATATATAAAATTCACGTTAATATTAAAATATAAATTAGTATTATAAATTTATATTTTAATTCTTTTTATAAATTTATATTTTAATTCTTTATTATTGGTTATTTAATTAAAACTTAACAACTCAAAAAAAATTTTAGAATTCTAAATTCATTGAAATAATCACATATATTTAATTTATTTGAAGAAATGAATTTAATAAGTATAATTCATGATTCTATTTAATAGTTTTTTTAAAAAAAATAATATGAAATTGAATTGATTGAATTTTGAATTGATTGAATTTTAAAATTACAATAAAATAATTATTAATAATTATTTTCATTGTAATTTCTAATATGTAAATTTTAGGAAATTGTTTCTTTCCTATTGAAAGTCATTATGTATACTAGAAAAATCTCTATTACCATTTGTCATTGATACTATTTTCATTAAAAAATCTTGACCATATATAATATATTTGTTTATGTAATTTCACTAATTTTAGACTTTTTTTAATCAGGTTTGTTTTTTATTCGTCGTGAAATGACTAATAAATTTTCGTCCCTCTATGAAAAAAATTCTAGCTCCGTCACTAATTAGAAGAATGCCCTAATTAAAGATTACACGTGTATTTCCTCTCACCACTAAATATAAGAGATTTAGTCAGAGAACGTCTTTAATACGGTTCCATATCAAGCACTTTTACTATATATATATATATAATAGGACTAAGAGTATAAATAAGCTGCACCGATTGAATATAATTCCTTTAAGCTTGTGTGTGTGAAATAAGTGCCTCGATAGATTTTTTAAATACACTCCATGCATTGTCTCTTTAAGCTTACCATGTCGGAAATATTTATTACTTTATGTCTAACGTTTATTAAATAATGGGAACACCATTTTTGTATAAAAACCTTTTCATCTTTCAAAAGAAATGTTGGCAAGAGTAAGAGATCATTGCTCAAAGGTTCAAATCACTCAAAGCTCTCTCTTCAACCCCCATCATTTCTTTTCTTCTCTGTTCTTTAAGAACTATTTTTAAGAGAAAAGAAATCTGGTAGTAACCTTTTTTTGAAGAACAGTTCTGAACTTACTTTCTATTTTCAAATCTATTTTTTGTTCTTCCTATGCTTATAGGTGCATTTGTCTTTGTCTATATATATTGCTGTAATTTGTTGTGGACTAGAGGTTTTTAAATGAAAAACATTTGTGTATAGCTTAAGTGAGAAGCTATGTTGTAAAAGGTTATCGAGCGACCTTCTCCTTGTGTGATATTCTAATACCTTCTCCTTGTGTGATATTCTAATATCTTGATTTGAGTTTTCTATTCTCTATAAAACATAAGGGTAGAGGTCGATTAGAACCTTTGAAATCTAGTGGATTAAATGTTATATCTAGGTTTCTAATTTATTTCCTTGTAATGAATGGTTTGTCTCTTACCCTTTAAATGAGATAACATAGTGGAGGATCTCAAGATGAGTCTTGGGGAGTGAATGTAGGTAGCTAGTGACGAACCACTATAAATCTCTTTGTTATTCTTTTTTTTTTTTTTTTTTTTTTTTTTTTATTTTCTGAAGTTTTGCTTGATTATATTCTGATTACCCATCTGTTAATGTTTTTAGAAATGCAAAATTGTTAATGATTTTTTGTTTCTAATCATGCAGAAGCTTTATCTTTGTGGATCATTAGAACTCTGGATTTCTATACTGTGATTTCTCCAATTTCTAATTTATCCTTTTACATTTAGTAAAAATCAAAATATGAGTTATAATTAGTATTCTAATCTTTTCATAAGTTTTGTGAGGAAGTTCTAATCTTGATAACTGTCTCTCACAAGTGCTTTCTAGTTCCACTGTTTTATAATTCTGAACTTGCGTAAATGGCAAATTTTTTGAAAACCCAATTCACTCTCTCTTGGGTTGTGCCATATAAGACGGGACCCACAAACTAGTATCAGAGCATAGACTCTTGACTTACCAAAGCTTAACCACTTAAGAGAAAAGATCACATGACTGCCCAATTGCCTCTTACATCTTTAGAAGGTCAATTTATTTCTAGACCACCTCTGTTCAATGGATCTAATTACTCTTACTGGAAAACTAGAATGCAATGGATCTAATTACTCTTACTGGAAAACTAGAATGGAAAACTTCATTAAATGAGTTGATATTAATTGTTGGAGGAACATTATCACTGGTCCTCGCATTCCTATGAAAACTGTTGAAACTAGAAGTGTACCGAAAACAAAAGAAGAATGTAATGATGCAGATTGGAACGATATCTCTATAAATGCAAAAGCCATTAATATTCTTCAATATGCATTAGACCTAGCAGAGTACAACAAAGTTTCTGGATGTGGGTCAGCAACAGAAGTTTGGGACAAACTCAGAGTCACCTATGAGGGAACAGACCAAGTTAAGGAATCATAGTTAATATCCTTTGGAGAGGATATGAAATGTTTAGCATGAAAGGAGAATTTATTGCTGAATTAAATTCTAGATTCATAAATATAGTAATTCCTTTGAGAACTCTCGGAAGAGAAATTTTTGAAGATGAACCTGTTAAGAAAGTCCTTAGAATTCTACCCAAAAAGTGGAATTTTATTGGAATTATCATAAACTACAAAAAGACTCCAATAACTTATGATTATTTAATGGGAGCTCTTGTTTTAGAAGAGATGAAATCTTCTTTGGCTATAGAAGATAAGGAAAAGGAAGGACTGGCTTTGAAAGTTATTTTTAGTAAAGATAGTTCTTCTGATCTTGATAGTGATGACCTAGCTCTTATGGCTAAAAAATTTAAAAAGTTCTATAAGAAAGGTGGAAAGCCAGAGAAAAGGTTCAACAAAAAGAAATTTTACCTAAAAATAGTAACTTGCCTAAGAAAGAACCTTTTGAAGTGGTTTGTTATGAGTGCAACAAACCCAATATATCAAGCCAAACTGTCCTAAGCTGAAGAAGAAGTCAAAGAAAGAAAAGTTGAAGGAAGAATTTGTAGCTACTTGTAACGATTCAGATGATTCTATTTCTGAAAGCCAGAATGGTCTTGAGGAAGTTGCAAATATTTGTCTAATGGCCATTACAAATTCTGAGTCCACAGAAATCTACACTCTGACTTCAACACACAAAGTTGAAAGTAGCAAAGCAAATGCGGCAGGCCAAAAGCAATATGAAAGAGATGTAAGTATCTCTAAACTTGAATCTGAAAGTGATCTTTTAGATACTTACAATAATCTTTGTACTAAATTTGAAAAACTTACTAAAAGGCGTAAAGTTCTAAAGAAAGATCATAAGAAAATGAAAACCGAATGTAATCTTTTGAAAGATGCTTTTCATCAAGAAGTTACAAGCAAAGATCTTATTATAGAGATCAAAGATATTAA